TGGGGGGGGGGGTCCTGCACGTAAGACAGGGGCTCTGCCACTGAGCACGCACACACACACCCAAGATACCTTCGGCCCTTTCTTGCATGATTTTCTCTGCCTGACAAAGATGGCAGTAGATGAGCCCAAGGCACCCCCCCTATGGTCCTTAGTTCCTTCTCTGGGAAAAGGGACACATATCAGAGGTACTGCAGCATGCGAGAGCACAGAGCACTTTGCACATAAAAAAACTCCAGGTGCACAAAAAAAGATGCATTCTCTCCCCTCCAAAAGAATTAGGACAGACATATCTGGGAAAAGGAATTAAGAGCCCACCGGAGACACAACTTCTTTTATATATAAAAATTTATTTATGAACATTATCTCTTGAAGGACAACAGCCTCTCTGCGCTTCTCTCTGTACATGCAACTGTAGAAAATAACATTTGTATTCACTTTGTCTCTTTCTGCAGGAAGTTGTACAGCTAAAGGACAGTTGTGTAGAGGCAGAGCGATGGCTGCGGCAGCACCAGCACCGCCACACAGAATTATGTACACAAACTACATCAGTAAAAAAAGAAAAAAGAAGTTACATTGTTACATTACAGACAATGCACCCCGCTGCTGTTTCAACCCCACAATCTACGCAAATCGCACTAGTACAAATAAAAGGGTGTGAATTGACCTGTGAGAGTTATTTACATGTATATTTATATATATATTTATATACGTATATACAACTGCCTGGTATAAGGATTCTAACGAGGGGAATTTACACCAACATCCCAATCCACAGAGCACACAATATCAAAGGGTATTATGCTCCTTCCATTATCCTGGCAATTTTGGAAAGCTTTTCCATGAATAGTTACCAAAAGCCTTTTTTTCAATTAAAAAAAAAATTAGAGAGAGCAGGGTATCCATTGTTTCTCAGGGCTGCCTTGCTATGTAGCTAAGAGGCTGTGAACAGGTTAAACTAGCTAAACTGGCCCTTCTTCGCCTTAAGTTTTTCCAGGAACTGCACAGTGCTATTAAGCCACTTGGTGCAAACCCACCAGATAGAAAAGAAGGGAGCGTTTCCATGAGCAGAAAATGCTGGAACGTGGGAGGGAGCGAGGACTTCCCTCCAAAACCTCTTTTACAGACAGCCCTGCCCACTGTTAAGGACACAACCTTCTTGCTAGAAAGCAGCACAACGAAGCTTGCTTGGGTGAAGCGGCTCGTCGCCAGCAAGGCAGTGGGAGGAAGGCCCAGAATTATTATTATTTTTTTGGTCCCAGGAGTCCAAAGGCAAGAGAGATGTCACTGCCTGCCCATGACATGACCCCACGGGTGTCAGAAGCACAAAGGTCAGGATTCTGACCTCCAACAACCAGTAGGCTCCTGGGAGGGCGTTTCAGAAAAAAACTCCCTGCTTGGAGCAGTGTGTGGCGGTGGCAGCAGCAACAATCATTCCACCCACCAACCCCTCGAGAAAACAGCAGGGGTAGAAGTTCTGCAAGTTCACACTGACTTAAAAATGAATATCATCTCGCAGCCCTGGGATGGGATTCAGCGGTAGCTGTACCTGGATCAGACTGACTGAAATCAATATGGTTAAGTCCTGCCACAATGACCTTGACTCACACTGATTTCAGTAGATGTCTTCCAAGGAGGACTAAAGCAGGATCTAACCCCCTGCTCTGTAAAAATGTTTCGTTGTTCTAAAAATCTAAAAATCACACACCCTATTAGCATCCCCTTGCTAAAAGTGAGGGTTTCCCCCTCTTTGAAATGCCGAAACAGAGATGGCTTCCCCTCTTAATACTGCTTTCCAAAAAGAACTTTGCTCAGGATAATACAGGCGTACTGCCCCTCCCTGACGTCCCCGCTTCCAGCAAGCCTCCGAGTGAAGGGTTCTTCTAGGTCTCAAGCCGTTAACCAGCGGCTCTAGCGGAACAAGGAGGGGCGCAGGGCCAAGGGAACAACTGTTATGGCAAAGGCGTTTTGTCAGGCGAAAGGAACTCCTTATCACGGTTGAGCCGGCCTTCGAAGAGGACGATGGCTCACTGACCAGGCACTGAAGAGAATGGCTTTTAAAAAAGATGCACGCTTTACCACACCTAGCCGCCACCAAGCGTTCCTGTCATTCACGGCCACAGATATGTGACAAGAGTTGGGCAGAGAGCCTAGTAGCCCCAACTGCCCAAAGTAACCCTACTTCAGGTGGGGCTCCCTGGCTGAAATTTGGAGAGCTGGTGCATCGTGGAGCAACTCCCCGCCTAAGCACCAAGGGCCTTCCCGGGCACCAACAATGTCGCGTACCAGAGGCATCTCACGGAATGTCACAAGCCAGACAGGAGATGCTGGCCACAGAGTTCCACTCGGCTGGCCTTCCGCCCTACTTTCCTTGTCCAAATGGATTCAAGGCCTCTCTTCCCACATGGATACACACGAAACATGCACGCACGCCCCACCCCCGGCGAGGCTTCTATGCCTCTGTCTACAGCACTCAAAATACCCAAGTGTGGGTGCAAGAAAATAAGTCCCTCCGCTACCGTGGGAAACCCCTAAAGCCAAAGTGTGGGCCCGTTTCCTACAAATTCAGGAGTTTCTCATCAAGCTACAGATTTACAGATTCTTCACCTGCCTCCTTTCCCATCCCTCTGGGGGACACGGGTCTCTCCTTTCTCCTCACCTCCTCTTCAGTCCCCCTCCTGTTACACCTCTTGTGACTGCTTGGCTGCCCGTCCATCCGAACAGCAACTCCACTCAACTTTTCTGCACCCTTTTCAAGGACAAAGCAAGGGTGGCATTAGAAGGCAGTTCCCAAAGGGAACATTCTGCAAGCCCAGGCCTCCTTCCCCTCTCGAGTTTTTCTCTGTTCTCTCACCTCTGGAATTCCCTGGCCCCCACCACCTCATCTGTCTTGGCAGGGGTTCTAGACCCTCAAATGGATGGCCGATCCTGCTTCAACCTGCTGAGCCACACAACGGCAGGCGATCCCGGGGGGTGTGTGTGTGTCTCTGTCAACAGCCACAGAGTCACAAGAGAGGAGAAAGGGCATTTAGCTCAGCTCTTTCTCAAGCCTCCCTCATACGGAGACTTCGTGCGCTGTGCACCTGAGAAATACCGTCCCATAAAGGCCTGAGAGGGCGGTTGGGGGGGAGAGCTGACAAGACTCCCTTTCTTGCCATCTCTCTCAAACTACACTCTAGGCACACCCTGATGAAGTCCCCGTCTCCTTCTGCCACAGCTTAAGGCTTTGGTTTCAGGGGCCATCATCTCTCCTTCCTCTTCCTCACCCTTTCAGCTGTGTCGTGAGGAAGCCGGTCTCCTGCTCCCTGCCCATGTGCGTAGCACCCTTCCCCCCCCCCCCCCCAGATTCACACACTTGTACCAGAAACAACCCTGCTGAGCGTGACTGCATGGCTTCAATCCCTGCACACAGAAAGCCTATTGGAGCTTTGCTGGACTCAAAACAGGCAGTAGAGCCAAAAAGGCCCCTGGGCACCACCGCAGGCGGGCGGGGTGGAAGTGTGAGCCTCTGGCCTGCATTGGGAGGGAGGGAGGGAAGGAGGGCCTAGGATCCAAACGACCCATTTGGCCTTCGTGGAGGGGTGGAAGGATTGCTTCCTTCCCCCCCCCTCCGAGTCTGGGGTCAGGGGAGGGAAAGAGAAAGGAGAAGCGGGCAGTGCTGCCTAGGGTGAACTATACATACAAAGGTAATTTTAATTAATTTATTTATTTCTTTACACATGACTGAAGGTGATGTTACAGTACATAAATTATTTACAACTGTGCAGTAATGTGTGGCAAAATAAATTATCTAGAAGGCAGCAAAAAGTACATTGTTAATGTATATAAAAACTGTACAGCTTTTATGGGATACAATTTCTCTTTATACGAGTATTGGCTCTTGTAGTGTTTATCTTATTCTTTTTTTTCTTCAAGTTATGTTCTCAGAAAGAGAAACAAAATGCCCAAGATTAAAGGAAAAATATATATTTATATATATATTTATATATATATATATATATAAACCATATGGATTGTACTCCATTTAAAAACAGAAACTGCAAAGTCCTTGCTCTGCCCCACTTACTTGGTTGTACCGGGCCAGGTGCTTGCTGCCTTCCCGTGGTTTTGATGGGTTGCCGGAACATGTCCTGTGTGTGTCTGCAGTCCGGGAGCATAGCTCTTTCTGTACCACCCTCCAGGGCCTGGCTAGGGACTCTCCCTATCACCAAGTGCCGCCTGGATGCAAGAAAAAACTGAAAAACTGTCCCCCAGCCCCGCCCCCACCCCTGCCCCCCCCCCTGTTTTGCCTTGCAGCGTCCATGAGGCAAGCTCCACCCGCAGGCAGCTGGAAGGATCGAAGCGCTGAGAACGGCCGTGATGGTGAGCGTGTGCCGATGGCCCCCCATGGCTGCTTCTGTCCCATTGTCGGGCACCAGATGAGGTGCAGAGAGACTGTCCCAGAATTGCTCCTGCTCTCTCTGCCTCCATCAGTCTCTGTTCCGCCCTCCTGTCCTGTACACGCTGCTGCTGCTGCCACTGCTGCCACCAGCCTGCCTTCTGCCCCGGCGGCTGGTGTGAAACAAGCTACCCGTCCCCTTCCTCCCCTGCTTCCGCCAGCTGTGCGCAGGGAGACAGTTGTGAAGAAAGTGCTGTTCGTTGGTTGTCATTGATTTTTTTTTCTGCTTCCTCCTCATCTGACGAGGGATTCATCAGCAAGCGGTTGGGGTGAAGGGGCGTGTGTGTGAGCACCTGCACCCATTCTTGGGGGGTGGGTGGGATGGGCACCCACCCATGCCAGTTTGCAGCGAGAATGTCTCCAGGCCTGGTACTGTCATGCTGGCAAGAGCACAAAGTCATCGTTCACATCTACCATTGGCACGTAGAAGGAGGGCACCTCGTTCACACAGAGGGATTTGTGCCCAGCGGGGTCCAGTTCCTGCACCTTCAGCTGCCACTCCATGCGCTGCACTGCGTTCAAGGCTGCCGCTTCGTGTTGCTGCCGCATCAGGAGGCATGTCTGGACAGGAATGAAAGGAAGGAAGGAAGGAAGAAAGAAAGGTGAGTCTGATGGGTGGGAGGAGGAGCAGAGGGGTCAGCCTCAAAAGTTGGCCACTGGGACAAGCTTGCTTCCATAAACTGTTTCCTCTCTTAAGCATCTGCTTATGGTTTTAAAGATCAAAACCGGAGGCTCTTCTCTCTACTCCAGGTGAAATTAGATGGACTCAAAAATCCTGAAGGGTGGAGATCTGTTGGGGCCCCTGCACTGGCCTGCTTTAGAAGGCTACAGAAGGCATTTTTATGTTGGTAAAGGAATTGAATATGTTTATACCAAAGGGGAGATCCTTTAAAAAAAGGGGGGGGGGAAGGTGGGTGATGGCTGGCTGGCTGGTAGATGAAGCACGTAAGTGCCTTCACCGATTAGCACTCCAGTCAGCAACACACAACTGGTTCAAATTCAAAGCAATACACTTTTAATTGACTGCAATCAGATTTTTAAAATTAAGGAATCACCTTAGCAAAGCTTGATGCTTCCAAGAAAGGGAAAGTCAGCAAAGAGTGTAGGGTGGTAGAGGAAGCCACACAAACTGAGTTATATCTGTCTGAAAACATGTGTGTCATGGTAAGACATTGGGCAATAAGTAGTGCTCAGATAGGAGCATTACTGATGGTTTCCTCAGAAAAGCTTAACCCTTAAGCTTAATAAATAACATGTTACCAGAAATGTATACATTTTCAATGATGTACCACCTAGCTTGCTTTCTACATGGTTAAATAAGAAAGAACAACACGTGGAATAGCAGGGGGTCAAACAAGCAGAGGCCCTGTTTCCCACTGGACTCTCTCTCTCTCAAGCGCCTGCTTTGAAGGCTGGCATCAGAGACTATAAAACGAACACAGACCCCTTTCTGCCCTCTCTCATCCCTTCCTGCCTCTATGACTGGCACCTGCGTGTTGAACAAAAGACGCCAGTTCCGGGGAAGAGAGAGTGGCACAAATGATTGGCTGTGAAAAGTGGATGATTGCTGGCTAACCACCACCATCATCAGGCAATATGATCTAGTTGGTGTCTTGTGGAATGAAGAAACGGAAGAGCTGAGAATGCAGAGGGAGAAAATTTGAGAGCTAACATTATCTGTACGTGTGTGTCTTAACCCCCTCCTGCACACCCTCCAATCAGGAGTTAACTCTGTGTGTGTGTGTGTTTGTGTGTTTGTGTGTGTGTGTGTGTGTGTGTACGTGTATGCGCGTGCACGGTGCTTAGTCAACCTTGAGCCCAACCAGGTAGACATTCACACAACACAACTTGTATGCTTTCCCCATTCCCTATATGGAAATTTTTTTTTTGGGGGGGGGGAGACACAGCACCACCTACCTACTACCCACACACCCATTCCCCCACCCAACACACAAGGGAGCAAACCTCAACAGATGCTGCATCAGCATGCTTTATTTGCAAGAACCCTCCAGTTGGCAGTTGTTAATCCAAATACATTTCGAGAGTCCCTACTTCACATCACAGACAATAATAAATAACCCACCCACGACATCCCTCATGGATCTTCTTCAGCTCTCAACAGTGCTTTCTTATTGGCTGAGGCAGACTCTGTGTGGGACAGCCCTCCCCCCTCCCCAGAGGCTGGATGGCGGCTGACGTTGCCCTTGTTTCAGAGCCACGCTAAAACCAGCAGGTTCACAACTTGGCTTCTGATTTACCCGTTTGTCGGTTTTGTTTTGTATGGAGTTACAAAGTGTTTGATTGTGTTTTCAATTGTTCTAATTTGATTTTTCTGACTGTATCTGTTCATACGGAGCGACTGAGAAATACTTACAACAAAAGCATAAGCAAGGAGCTACTCTGTAATGCCTTCTCTTTAACACAACAGAAAAGACATAAGTGTGGAAACAGAGAAGCAAGCATCCTACGGAGGCAAAGAGAGGGAACTAAAACCGAAATCCTCGCTTTCCTTCCCCAACAGAGGGAGACAACAGCTCCTGAAAAAAATGTGTCATTAGCTCCAGGGTTACCTAACGTAGGGAACCATGGCCTTAGAGGGACATTCGGGGGGGGGGGGAATTCTGTATCCACCCTGGAAACCCTGGTTCCTCCGATCACCTCACACTTCACCCCCTTCACTCCTCTCTCCTTCCCAAACGGCAAGTGAAGGGATGAAGTTCTGCCTCACAATGGCTGGACTCCCTCTTCTTTCCTAAAACACAAGGCGAGCAAGCGACCCCACTAGACGCTTCGAAGCAAAGGGAGGTCCTTCCTCGCCCAGGGCTACTGAGGTCTCACACCAGCTTTGGGCTTCGCTGCTCACCTTCATCCGGTCGTATTTGTCATCCACATCCTGCAACCAGGAAATGAACTGGCGGGCGTTGAAACGGTCTCTGACAGATTTGTTTTCATCTCCCTGAGAAATGCAAGAAGAAGAAGAGGGTGAGCCGGGAGTCCAAGTCTATTCTCAGGGCTTGCACTCCCCCTCCTGAGCGGCGTCTCTCTCACACACTTCTCCAGCTCCAAAGAAGAGCCCCTCAGGTGTACAGGTAAGGAACATGGCCCTTTCATGACCTCCGCCCATCGCAACCCTACATCTAGGGAACAAGTGCAACACTCAAGAGGGCCCCTGCTTTCTTCCCCCTACACTCGCTTAATGAATAGCCAGCCATGCTTCTAAGCCTGTGGGTACAAAAGCCTTTGCAAAAAGCCCCCCTACGCCCAAACTCCTGAGAGGAGGCACCCAGCTCCAGTAACCTATTATGACGCAGAAACCATCTTTCTTTCCTTTCTATACCAAGAGCCGGGGAGTTCTAAATTAGATGCAAAAAAGATCAATACAAGGATAAGTAATAAATCTCCCCTGCTTGCTGCAATGCAGCAGTAGGTTTCCCACTGACAAGGTAGCTTTATGGCAAGTAAGCAAGCAAGCAAGCAGAGGAGCCTCGAAAAGCATGGCCAGCAGGAGGGGCTGGTGCCACAGATCTGTGCTGCTGCAGCCACTTGGAGGTTTTTCCCCCTCTCTCTTGCTGCAAATCAACACCGGGAGCTAAGGGCTCCACATCTTCAGACTCTGAATCTGCTAACCTCTACGTGGGCGGGGAGTACTGCAAACGAAGGCACACAGATCTTCTTCTGGAAGTATTCGGCTCCAAAGAGCTGGGAGGCAACATCATTAGCTGAACAACCGGGTCATGAAGAATGGCTTAAGTATGGGGGTGGGGGTCACTGGATGCTCTGTAACAGCTCACCCACCTCCCCAGTTATTCCATTCAGCCATAGCTACAGAAGGTAGAGTCTTCTGGCACAAGGCCAATGCAGGAGGGATGGGGTCAGAGCCCCTCAGGCGGGCAAAGCATCACCTCTGCCTCACCCATGCATGCCTCACAATCCTGCCACTCAAGGCAGCTGTGTGGAAGAGCCCGGAGAGGAAGGTGACCATGAAAAAGCAGGCCCAGACCTGATTTTCCAGAGGCATGTTGTACACCTCCGAGTCCAGAAGCATGGTGCAAGCACTGAAGGGCACCGCCTGGTTTGCTATCGTCCTTGCGGCCCGACAATGAACCCTCAAAATCTCTTGCTCACAGGACACAATCAGCTTCTCCTGCGAAGAAGAGGGAGAGAGTTACGAGGGAGGGAGTAGTAGGCACCGACCGCTCACTCCTGCCTCAAAGGGAATGGGGAAAAGGCACTGTGCTCCCACCCATCCACGCCAAGCTGCCTATGGGCCTCTGGAGGCTTGTTATTACCCGCTCAATACTGTGCTGGAGTCGCAACTTGCCGCGGACGCCTTCCTGCTGCTTGAACAGCTCCTTGAGTGGCTCTGCCAGGGATGGAGGGGGTGCGATCTGAAACATACCGAAAGCCGAAAACTGTCATGAAACGGCAACCTCTTCGACGCACACCTCTGTTTTCTTTGTTCAGATGGGGGCCTGTGCAAGAAGCGCCCAGAGTAGTCTGTGTTTCTTGCTGCAGGAAGGTCAGGACTCAGCCGTGGGGCTAACTTCTGGGATCCAAACAAGGGCTTTGTTGCAAAGCGAGACAGAGCTCATGTGTGTCCTTCCTGTGCCATCACATATTCTAAGTCTGGCTGTTCCAGGACGGGCAGACTAGAAGGTGGGAAAGGGCAGCTCTTTGAACAAGGTGATGTAGTCTGGCACCCAACTGAAACATTGACCTTGCAGCAGGCGACAGATATAAAAAAACTGGTGTCTGTCCTGGACCATCAGAGAAGCCCAGCCGTTCTGCCATGTGGTCATGCAGGAACCAGAGCAGAGGCCAGTTTTTCTGACACATCAGGTTAATGACTCCACCAGCACACCCCTACGGGATTCAGTTCTGCTCAGCACACAGTTCATCACCTGCCTCTTACTTCCATCAGGGCACACAGGCCAACGTGGCTCTGAGGCCCCCATTTGGCTCCTTTAGAGCCTATGAGTCCACCTCTCCCAGCTGGTGCACTTGGGGTACACTACTCTTGACACGTCCCAGCTGCAGAACATATATGAGAAAAACATGAAAAAGATGAAGAACAGCAAGCTGGAAGCAAAGCATTTACAGCATTGCCACCATCAGAGAGGACTCCACTGTTCTTTTAGATAGGCCAGTGAATCAAGACAACCATCTTTATATCAGCTTTTTTTATTTAGCTCCCCTCTCTAAGTACTCAAGATACACAGGAAGTGGCTTGTTCTGAGTTGGAAGGCCGGCCCAACGGGCTCTGCACTGTTTATACTAATTGAACCTGGGTTTCAGGCAAGGAACATTCACAGCTGACAAGATGATTGAACCTGGGACCTCCGGAATACCAACCACATGGCCCAATGGTTGTGCCTTAGTGTTCATTTCATGTGCACAGAAATATAAACAATTTGCAAAACCAGTACGTGGACACATGTGCTTGTGTGGCAGAGAAAGAGAAACAATGAGAAATAATCTGTTATTACTTTTGTTGGGATCTACGATCAAAGTATGTCTAGAATATCTATTTCGAGAGTTCAATGTGTTTCGATTCTCATGCATCATTTTGAAATCATTGTCTGGTCCAAGGCTCACCTGTGGCCCCCAGAAGGCTAAGGAGAGCCTTTAATTCCTACCAGGCCTCAGCTTCCCTGCAGCGTCCCTCTCCTTCCCAGGTGGATGCTCTGTGGACCAGTTTGAGCTTGCAAAAGGAGCCTTGGTGCCATGCACCATCAGAAGAACAAGATAAACTTTGGCCACTTCACCCCATGCCTTACCAGCCTGCGCCCAAGATCGCTACACAACTGAGTGGGGTTGGGGGGGGCAGGGGGTGTCCATTGAAACAACCACAGTCATTAATATACTCCAAGGGCTGTGTCGGAAGTGCAGGGAGCAGCAAAGACTGCTGGTGGAGCTGGACGGGATTGTTCTCATGCCTGCAAAGCTCACAAGCAAAGCCAGGAGGGCAAGCAGGGTAAGAGACTACTCACCACTGGAATGTGCAGCTTGCTTAAAGGTTTGCCATCCAGCAGGTATGAGCCCGTGTAGGTGACGTACTCGGCGTAACACTGGGGGGCCTGGGGAGTGATGTAGCAGAGGATTTTCCGCTTCTCCTCAATTTTCTTCCTAATCTGCAGGTACTCAAAATAAGGATTGGACCGGTCGCTGTGGTACGGCTCAATATCGTCCAGCTTAATGGTGTCCACAATGGCAGCCAGAGTCTGCTGGATCATCTCCCGCGTCTGCTGGGTGGAGGTGTTGATCTGCTGCTGTAGCTGCTGATTAGAGCGCTGAAACCTGCGCTTCCGCGGGTGCTGTGCCTGGGCGTCCTCTTCCTCTGAGACACGTCCCTTTGCCCGTGTGGTGGGGGCGGGGGCAGGGGCAGGGGCATACTTCTTCTCTGCCGCCGCTGCTGCCGCCGCTGCCGCCGCTGCATTCTGCTTGCTTTGATTGGCAAGCATCTGGGCTCGGTTCCTGGTGATCCGCTGTGGAATCTCTTCTATTTTGGGGGGCTTGGGGGTTTCAGGTACTGGTTTGGGAGCTGGTTCTGTGGCTTCTGACTGTGTATTCCCATGTGGCACTTCAGCCTGAGAGGGAGGGATCTGGCTAGTAGCCGCCAATACATCTTGAACATCACTGCTCTCAGCCTTGTTGGCTTGGCTTAAACTGGGTTCAGAACCACCGTCAGAGGCAAGAGGAGCGGAAGGGAGTTGTTCCTCGCCACTGGCGGCCACCTCTTGGGTCTCTAATTGGGCACCATCTGCTGATGTTGCTTCCTGAATATTCTGGGGGGTCTCTGGTTCTTCTGCACTCTTCTCCTCTGGAGCACCTGAGGTTTCCGATGAAATTCCTACAGAACTCTCCTCAGACTTCTGCTCCTCGGAGCGTGGTTCTGGCTCCTCAGGCAGGATGCTCTGTGGGTTGAGAGTCAGCTCCTCTTGATCATTTGCGGACCCTGAAGAGGTCACAGCCTCTACAAGAGTAGGACCCATGGTTTCTGAAGCTGCTGCGTGGTCTCCTTCAGTGGCCTCGGATGCTGCCACTTCCATTTCTGGAACGTCTTTTGTCTGAAGTGGCAACTCCGGTAAGGAGAAAGGACCCAGGTCCAAATCATCTTCCGAGTTGGTGAATGGATCAGGCCAAGGAACAGGTTCCTCTGCATTGCCAGGCGCCGCAGTGCTGCTCTCCAAGTAATCTTCTTTTTCTAGCGTGTTAGCAGCCTCCACCTGGGATTCTGCAGGCAGGCTGGCCATCTGGACAGGCGTGTCAGAGGCTTCCTCTGGAACAGACTTGCTGCTATTAAAGAAAGAGTCTAATGTAGCTGGGGAACCTGCATAAGGTGCCTGCCGATCTGCAGCCCCAATGTCTCCTGGCCCTGGCCCTTCGGCATCTTCCTTTGCCTTGTTCAGCCCTGGCTCAATCACAGAGACAGGGTAGGGAACAGGAGAGCTGGGGAAGAGTGGCTCTGTGGGAATGAAGGGTGCCGGTGTGGGATGTGTGGCGTCCATGGAACAGAAAGTCTTTGGTGAACTGGGGCCCTGTGGAGGAGACTTAATGAGCAGCTCTGATCCCACAGACCAACCAACAGGGTGCTCAGAAGGACTGTCTGCCAAACTGGGTGGCCCAAGAGGATCCAGATATCTTTTCGGAGTGTTCTCCCACGCAGCGCTGTTTGGTTCCGGAACGCCAGAGTCAAACTCATTCTCCTCAATGGGTGGCAGGAAGCTTGACTCCGGGGGCATAATGGAAGCCGTGGCCTGTTGCTCTTCGGTGGCCTCCAGAGGCAGGCCAAGATCTGGCGGAAGAGCACTTTCCACGGAAGGGGCAAGCAGCTCATCTCTGTGTGAAGGGGAAGATTTGGCTTGCAGTCCAGAAAACACACTTTCAGGGGACTGGGCCGTGTTGCCAGCTGTGCCCGGCGGGCAATGCAACCCTTCCCCCTTAGGAGATGGAACTCCATATTCAGGTGAATAGTACTCAGGAGACAAGCACGGGAACTTTTCTATGGGAATGGAAGGAAGAGGCAACTTCTCCTCCATCAAGTGCTGGGCGGGAGAGTCATAATTAGATGTGGCCGGGACACTTTGCTGGCGAAATAACTTGTCTCCCACACTGAACTCTTCCTCTGGTGCTCTCCTGATATCCACAGACATTGAACGGTGGAGATTTGTAGAGGGAATGGTCCTGGTCGGGGTCTGACTTGGGTTCTCAGGAAATCCACTTGAAGGGTTGGAATACCTGTCGAAAAAGGATGGAGAACAAGCATTCATGGACATGGTGGAGATGGGCAGCGAGTGCTGAGAGTCCGCACAGTCAAACATCAGGTCGGTGTAATCTTCGTTGCTGCAAGAGGGGGTCCTTGGAGTCTGCATCACTTCCTCATAGCTTGGGCAAGAAACAACAGAGGCTGGTGTGGGCACCCCCGTTGGCCTGCTCTGATCTGGCCTTGGAGAAGCAGGCAAAATTTCCTTCAGCTGGGGCCCAGCTATCCAGTCCTTGGAATCCACCCCAACAGCAGGCTGGGTCTTGTTATCAGGGGACACTATAGGAGCCAGTGGGCCTAGATCTTTGATTTTTTTGTCCTTTAACTGGGTATCAAGTGCTAAAGGTTTCTTTGTAGTCATATCCAGGCTCCTCTTGCGCATGTCCTCACTGGCCTTGAGTTTGTCTTTTAATTTGGGATCTCCAGACCTATGCCTCATCTTCTCCATTTGTTTCATTCTCTCCTTGTGCCTCTTGTGGCGCTCTTCTATCTCCAGATCTTTTTGGCTCAACATCCTCTCAAAACTGGTCATCATTAGGTCTCCATCGCCCAAAAGCTTTTCCCTGGGCCTTTCTTTCTTGGCGCTCTCTTTGGATAAAGGGATTCTGTCATTCCCGTTGCTCATCTTGAGAGACTCTGCTTTCTCCTTTTCTTGGTTCTCCTTCAGTCGCTCCTTGACTTTTAGGTCATTAAATTTGGGCGGCTCTTCCTTAGATTTGTCTTTGAGTGTGACTGCTTGAGAGCCGTCCTTGTCTTTGATGGTCTTCTGCTCATCCTTGTGATGTCTGAATAAGCCATCTGTGTGTTTCTCTCTGTGCTTCTCTCTCTCTTCTTTCCATTTCTCTTTGTGCCTGTCTCTCTTTTTCTTCTCTTTGGTGGTGCTGGCTGTGCTGGAGCTGTACGACCTCTCCTTGTCCATCTTCTTTGGAGCCTCTCTTTCCGACTCGTTTTTGTCCTTCTTTTCAGAAAACGAGTACTCTGTGTTTTTGTCTAGTTCCTCTTCAGCCTCTGTTTTTGTACCATAGGAAACGCCAAAGCCTTCTCCGTCCATTGCATACTCCTTTTCGTATTGAGTGGAATCCTTCCGGCTGATGGAGTCCTTAAATTCGTCTGTTTTATCTTTCTTCTCTGCTTTCTCTTTCTTGGCCTTTTCTTTTTCATGGCTCTTCTTTGAGGACGACGAAGAATGTCGGTGCCTCTCCTTCTCCTTCAGCTTATCTGGCAAGCCAGGCAAAGGCAAGGCCTCCTTCGACTTCTCTTCAGAAGCATCTGCAAGAGACAGGTGGGAAGAGTCAAAGAGATTGGTCAGCACTGGGTCTTGCCCCCGGTCTGTGAAACTGTCAGAAGAAATCTCACTGATTTTATCATTAGAGTCATCCCTATATTCATTGAGGGCTTCTTCCTCCAATTTCTCCAGCATACTCTTCTCCCCTTCTCCACTTTTTGAAGGTCGCTTGTCTTTGGCGTACTCCTTATCCAGCTTTTCTTTGTGCCTGCTTTTAACCTTCTCTTCTCCAACATGTTTCTTCTCCATCTTCTCAGGCAGCTTCTGCTTAGATTTCCTTTCCTGTCCAGAATCTACCGAGGTCCTCTCTTTCCTCTCTTTGTACTTCTCAACCGACTCTTTGTCCTTCTTCTCTTTGTGTTTCTCAAAGGAGGTTTTTTCTTTCTTCTCCTTCCCGCCCTCAGCTGGTCCTTTGTCCTTTTTCTTCTCTCTCGATTCTTTGTCTTTCTGCTTCTCAGCAGAATGCTGCCTCTCGGAGGAATATTTCCTGTGTTTCTCAGGAACATAAAGGTCTCTTTCAGCTACTATGGTGTCGTCTTTATCCTGCAGGCTGTCCGTCCGATGCATTTCACTCCCAATGCCCTCTCCAAATTTGAATCCACTCAGGCTGCAGTCATCCTTTTCTTCCTCACTTTCATCAGTGAAGATGTCTAAGATGTTGTACCAGGTTCTCTCGCGCCCCTTTTTCTCATCCCTCCTCTCATGGAAGTCTTCTTTATCACCAGAAAAGTTCTTTTCTTTCTTTTCTTTACCTTGGTCTAAGGAAGATTTCCTTTCTTTCTCTTTGCTGTGAGAATCTTTGTATTTCTCCTTCGTATCTTTCTTATCTTTAAAGCTTTTATCCAATTCTTTGTCCTTCTGGTTCTTTTCCAGCAGAGATTTCTCGTTTCTCTCTTTGTCCTCCACTTTGGATTTTTCTTTGTACTTTTCAGCTTTCAGCTTTTCTTTTTTATCCTTTTCCGGCAGGTCCTTCTTCTCCTTTCCTGAGTGATGCCTTTCCCAGATCTCCATGTTTTTCCCACCAAATTCAGGATCTGTTTTTTCTTTGAAGAATGCTTCACAGCCATAGTCTTTGAATTCATCCCTGTAGGACTCCTCTTGTTTGATTTTAATGTCTTTCCTTTCTTTAGAACTATCAGACAGTTCTCTCCTCTCTCTGCTTATTTCCATGCAATCCTTCTCCTTTTTCTCTTTAAAGTTTTCAGCAGAGTCCTTCCTTTTCTTTTCGGGCAGATAACCGGGAACACCTTTATGTTTTTCGGTTTGGTCCTTTTTCTTGTCAGTGTTCCGCTCAATGTATTCACGATCTTTCTTTTTAAGAAAAGTGTCTTTTTCGGCGCGCTTCTCACTGTATTCTCTCTTGTCTTTAGCTTTACTCTCTCGCTTCTTGTCTTTTGTCTCCTCTTTCACTGTTTCAATGATGAGTTTTGCTACGGTGTCGTTTTTTATTTCCCTGTAGTCTGTCACTGGGGAATCCCAGCTATCCTCACCTTTGAAATCAAAAGAAGAATCAGATGACAAATCTGAAAGCCACCGGTCCTGCTGATCATCTGACAGGCTGAACTTTGTGTCCTCGTTTTCCAAAAACTGGTTTTTATTACTAAACTCTTCAAAGCTGGATTCCTCTCTGTAACCTTTGTCTTTTTTACATTTCTCCTTCTCCTCTTTCAAAGTTCTTTCCTTCTCTGGTTTTGCTGGTTTTTCCTCCTTTGGCTCATTTTTCTTTTCAGCTTTAAACTGCTTGTCCTTGGATTTTTTCTTCCGTTCCTCCTTGTGTATCCGAGGCTTCTCCTCTTTAGGAGATTTCTCCTTTATGGGCTTCTCTTTCTCTGATCTGTTGGTCTTTTCTTCTCTGAAAGATTTATTAGCATCTTTACTCGCTTCCTTGGCCTTTTTCAAGGATTTCTCATCTCTGGAGGTTTTCCCGGCTTCCTCTTTGAACAACCACTCCTTCTCCTCAGATTTCGTTTTCAGAAATTTGTCTTCCTTCTTGAAGTGCTCCCTCTCATGCTTTAGCGCTTTGAGCTTGTTCTCGACAGGGCTTTCGGTCTCTACAATCAAAGCCTTTTCAGCCTTCTGCTTAGAGTCCTCATAGTCAAAAGAAAAGGCTTTGATGATTTTAATGTCTTGGGTGGCAGGACACTGGCCCCTCTCTTTATTTTTGTGTTTGTGTTTTGTTTTATGTTTCTTTACAACCTTCCCCTCCTTGTCCAGCTTTGGAATAGCTCCATCGACATTCGCATGGAATGAATTCTTCTTCTCCATCACCACCACAGCAGCCCCATGCTGGGCTCGCTTCTTGGGCTCCTGCTTTTTGCGCAGGGGCTTTAGAGACTCCAGGCTCGAATCTTCAGACGTGTAATCTGACTCACTGGTCAACCGTGTCCTCGTCGAATCCGACAAGGAACTGACATCTGACCAAGCTGGTGAGGAGACCGTCTTCCAGTTGTCTGTCCTCCAGTGCTTGGAGTGCTGTTCCGTAAGGGTGAGGTTATGCTTCTGTGACCCCAAACTTCCATGGGAAGAGGCAGAGGAGGCAGAAAGGGAATTAAACAAAGATGGCTCTTTTAACACAATTCTGGAGTCCTTTACACAGGTAGCACTTCGTACAGAGTCTCTGTCGTCCTCCTCGCTCTCCAGGTTTTCGCTCTCTGATTCAGAGGAACAAAACTTGTCATTTTTTTTGCCAAACCGAACTTCTTTGCCCTTGGTCTCCTTCTTACGCTTTTTCTTCACTTTGTTTTTCTCCTTCTGTTGCTTGGCGCTGGCTGGTTCCCGAGTTTTGCTGCTGGGTGGGATGGAATGGGTTGTCAGCCTCAGCTTTTCTCCAGTTCCAACAGCAACGCCACTCTCCTCTTCGTCAGATGTGTCCGAGAGGATGCGATGGGCCGCTTTCTTTGGTGTGATTGTGCTGCTGCTTTTTGTATAGGTTTTCACTTCCATCTTAGGGATGGAAATAAAACTATTTGCTTTTGTCTCTTTCCGGTAATCTTTCTTCAGCAGATGTTTATCGTCAACCGGCGGGACCCTATCCTGTTCGTCGTCCTCATCGAACTCATATTCATCTTTCACCGGGGTGATGGCTTTTGGGGGCTCCTGATGCTTGGCCTTGTGTTTCAGGCCTTTCTCAAACTCAGAGTCTGTGTTATTGCCATCAATGGAACTGGATGGTGCAAACGAAGGAGCATCTTCCTCTTCTGAGCTCTCTGGAAAACAAGAATGAAATAGGAAGGTGAGGTACAGTGACAAGTTTCAGTCTGAGTTACCATTATTTCCACAGAAACCTGATCACAATACCTGAATGGATAATCTATCATCCATGTGCTAAGCATAGCTGTGGTTGCTCTAGCTACACGATGCTCTGAGAAGTGGCTTCTGGGATAAAAGGCCAAAGCTGCGCAAGGAGTCAGTGGTGGGAATCCATGTGGAGCATCTGGACAGAAAGGATGCAAATCCAATAAGAGCTGCTGCGCGTAACGTCTATTTGTTTCAAAGGGGACGGCTTCCAGAAGTTGCAGCACAGCCAGGCATCTGCAGTGCCAATCTATTATTAGATAAACAGCGCATCTGTTTTTGTTGTCTCAAGTGCTTTAAAACAGCCACATGAGCACTGGCCAGGCTCAATGCTCCACCTCTCTACCAAGGCAGGTCAAGGCAACATCCATCCTAGCTCATCTACGAGCTCTATCATTAGAAAAATACCTAACTTCACAATCTGCAATGTGTCTCTTAAAGTGCACATTTCAATGCACATCATCCCAGTAATGACCATTTTTGGTAAGGTAGGCCAAATGGTTATCACTCTATGACACGTGAAGGGGTAAGGCGAATAACCAATTATACAAGCACACGCACACACACACACACACACACACACACACTTCATGACTGACAGAGATTAGAGGCGAAGAAAGAAGCCTTTCTAGTCCGCTTTCTCAGCCCATGATCCCTTTGCCATGACTTTCTGCCACTATGCCACAGTTTCCAAATCTCCCCTTCAGCCCTCTACCTTCACAGGCTCACCTATGCCAAGCTAGACCATGTAGCACAACTCACACCTTTCCCCCTCTGAAAGCAAAGGAGGGACCCCTGATCAGCAGTGCTGTCTGTCTGTTCTTCCCCCATCTGCTTCATCTCTGTTTCCCAAAGACGCGGATGTTTTCACCCCAGGTCCCTTCTACCTGGGCCCCAAATCCACCAGGCACAGTCTAAGGTGATGTTCTAGCACAGGACAGGTCGTGCTCCATGAGAACAAATGGCAAGTTGAGATAGTGATCCTGAGTTCACTTATGGGTGGGGAAGAAATTACTACCCGAGTACATACAAATTCCGTTCAGGAGTCTTGTGCCATTTATGTCTCCTGATGGGTCTTCTGGTTTCACAGGCACAACCTTTCCAAATATTGTGCAGGGCTGAGCAGCGTGTGGGAAACATAAAACATGAAGTATTCCCTCATCTCATACTTCCTACTCTCCATTCTATTTGGTCAACATGAGGGGGAGAGATTGAAAGCCAACAAATGAAATTGGATCCTTTTCGAGAGTTGTCACCAGTCTTGCTCTTCCGGTGCTCTGCCTCCCCCAGGGGGAAGAACAGGAAAGCAAAGAGTTTCATATTAACCTGAAGAATTTCATGTGGCTTCCTCGGTGGAGCACCATTTTTGCCTGATTTCCAACAAAGAGCTGTTACATCCATACACAGACAGGTTACTCAGGGCACAGATCTCATGGGCCCAACATCATGAGCAGAAGACACTCTGAAGGTGTTTCTCATGAACTTGGCAGACGCTCTGGGGTGTGTGTGTGCTCCTTGCAGCTTTGTAATCAGCAGCAGAGGGCCGTCTCTTCTGGGCGGACCATTTCTGGGAAAAGCCTCAGTGAATCATGAAGCTGGATTTTGGTTAATCAGATGTGACTCATCCAAACAATAAACTTTAGGAGATTGTGTGATGTCTATTTAACTCTTCTTCAAACCACACCTTTCTGCCAGTTCCCACCTCTTCTTACCTGTGGAGCTCTCTTCACTGGAAGGATATGTGGCCTTCCCTAGAAGCAGGTTCACCATTGTGGGGGAGTTTGCAACTTTTAATGGGGTCTCCCCCCTCCTGTTGAGCTGGTGAGGATTTCCTCCATAATGTAGCAACAGTTTGACAACCTGAGCAAGAGAAATCACAATGATGTCTTACTATGCTGCATCAATCAGGTGCTTTTCTTGACTAATGAATGCTCCAGGGATTAGAAACTAAGATTGATAAAGCTTGAGAAAAGCTGTCAAACCACAAGAAGCTGTCAGGTAGTGGATAAAGTAACCTAAAGTCTAGCACAGTTACCCATGGAAAATAGTCCAGAACTTGAGATGTAGCAATCATAAGCAACAACTGTGAAATCTTCAGTGGAATTCCCTCACCTCCCCAGCTGCAAAATGGATCAGGCCAAGGTCACCTGCCAGTCAGTATCAGCAGTATAAGCCTAGACAGAACACTGGTCTGACTTAGTGCAAGCCTTTGCTTATGATATCATCTTACCCGCTTTGTCTTGTCTTGTTTTCTGGGACCTAACAGGGTAGCTACACTTCAAACACCTAGAGATAAGGATACCAGGACACATCAGGAGGGTGACCAGACAGAGACTGGTGTCAATTGAAGTAAGTGGTGGAAAGTGATGAGCTACCCACAGTTCCAAGTTTCTAACATGAGGAGGGAAGAAAAAGAATAGTCAACAGCAAACAGCTGAAGACCAGCAATGAGGAGGGCTATCAAACGTTTACTGGCAGCTGACATGAGGAGGTATCCTAACAGCTCTGAACACAAGAGAGAGTCCATTTGGGCCCAAGTAAATGTCAATTACTGACCTTGTAGTGCCCATTGCTGGCTGCATCATGCAGGGGAGTGTCATCATCCAAGCCCTTGGTGTTGACCTCAGCACCTGCAGCAAGCAGCTGTTTCGCAACATCATAGTACCCACGATTGCATGCCTCGTGCAAAGCCGTCCAGCCTGCAAAAGCACACATAAAACACATCCATGACCTAGATGGCCCATTTCCAACCAGCCAGGGTGTCACATAGAGCAGCTTCCACAGAGCAGGCCAGCTGGTGACATACAGGGTTGGTCCTGCACAGACACTTGCAAGACTCGCTCTCACTTTAGACATTAGAAGCTTGGCTATGGCTTGGTATTTCGTTGAGCTACACATGACATACATCCAGCTCCCCACCAAGGAAGGAAGGAAAGAACAGAAGCCTAAAAAGTGAACCTCTTATTTCAGTTTACAAATTTGTTTCTCTCAATCTTTTGGAAAAGAGATAAGAACATACTGTAGCTTGTGTTCCCTTGCTTAGAATTCTTGCTCCTACCCAAGCTTCACCAGCATAACAAAACAGCAAGGGATGAGGGAAGGATGCAGTCTGTGGAGGGTCACAAATTGCCCACTGCTGACCAAGAAATTCAGAAAAATCTAAAATACATCTCTCAGTATTATAGACGATTGTGTATGTTCTGTGCCGTCAGATCACAACCATCTTACAGCAATCCTAATAGGGCTTTCAAGGTGAAATGATTAGGATGTCACAAATAAGCATACCTGATGTGAAACAGGGGAAAGGAAGTTAAACGTGAAAAGTGCCCTAGTCAAAGCAATATATAATCCCTTGGAGGTTCCTACAACAAAGTTCGTTTTTTGAAAAAAAAATATAGAAAGGTGATATGGCAGGACCGCTAACTGCAAGGAAAGTCCCTGAGCTGGATCACCACCTGCCAATTCACCTGACTTTCTAGGCAGTGATCTCTTGAAGCAACTCAGCCACCTTAAGATGGGGACCATAATTAAACAGGCTCTAATTTCCACCCCTTACCCCAATAAATGCTGAGCCAAGTAGCAACTCTGCCCCTTTACTCCTTGATTTCTTCAGTCAGCTCAAAGTGATTACCTGCAAAGTCCTTCACATTGACATCGGCACCCTCAATAATGAGTTCCTTGATGCGCCGGGCATCTCCCCGAATGGCTGCTCGGTGCAGCCGAGTCTCTCCACGCTCATTTCTCTTGTTTACTTTATCTTTGGTTTTGGAGGCAGAATTAGGAGTTCCCTTCTGACAAACTGTGGACTGAGAGGGATGCTTTGGTGTTGTATCTACTGCTGGATGGGGAGGAAAAAGGAGAAAAACTGTATTGAGTTAACTGTTCAGCTCAAAAGCAAAAGCCCAAAACCTTTAGAGGGAGCTGTTGTCATATAGTTAATACCCTGCCTTCAAGAAGAGGTGGGAGGGGGGAGAGGAAGAAGGGGGAGTTAATCTTCTGAAGCAGAGGAATGCCTTTGCACGCACAATGGAGACATTAATGGAAGACTGTGATTAAGCAAATACTGTAGAAAGCAGCTGTGGTTACTCTCCAGAAAGAAGGAGCCTTTACATCTAAGGAATGAAGTGAGGTCTCTATTCACCAGCTGCAAGTGCACAATTCTGGGGAGACCTCCAAGCTTCAACTATGATTCACCAAACAGAAATAAATCTTCAGGAAAGAATCACAAGGCCTCCTTCTACGTTAAACACAAATTATCTTGCCCACACCTGGACTGTTTGCAGACTCTTCTGCTGTCATCTGCATGAGAAGAGCAACCTGCTGGCGTTCAGAGAGTGGATAACCGGCACGGATTCCTGAAAGCCCCATCCCAAAGAGCAGACTTGGCTTCCGAGTGGCAGGCTCTTTTTTAATCCTCTTCCGCTCTGGACCCTGCTTTTCTGTGAAATAAAAATAAAGGAGAAAAAAGGACTTGTTTTTGCAACTGATATGCAATTCATTCTAACTAAGGCTTACTTTACAGAATTTTCCAGACAAGGGGAAAATAAGGTTTAAATATTTACTCTTGAGATAGTTAGGCCTTGGCATTATTTATTTATTATTAAAAGCCTTTCTCACTTCTTGACCCATGAGAGTCCCCAAATTAGTGTACAATCTCAAAGGGATAGACATTTTAAAATCAATGTTGTAAGTCAGGAATCTTTAAAACTGATCAACAACTTTTCTTTAAAAAAGGTTTAAAGCCACATTTACATATCAGACCACTTTTATACACAAAACAATACAGCCTGGGCTGCCCACTGGAAGGTCTAAAGGCAAAGGCTGGTGATCTCAAAGGGGCCAAGCTGTTGGGAGGATGTGCCTGAAAGGGCTAAAACTTCATTCTAAGACCCTTCACAGAATATGTTGTAGGGCTTACTTTCTTCCATTTCAAATGTTTAATGTCCTGCCTTTCCACTGTTAAAAGCATCACTCATAAATTGATAAACAAACAGTAAACCCAAACCAGACTAAACTGGTATTTTGACATAAACTTAACATGAAGACCAACGTTGAGCAATATCCTTTATTAAGATGAACCAAAGTACCACTAAAGTATGCATGCTTTGGAGTTCTCCGGAATGCTTCATCATGCAAGGCAGCACAAAGACGTAGGGGATGGGAGAAGAAATGAACAAAAACAGATTAAGATAGCTGTTGTGGCCATGACTCTCGTCTGCAGCTAGAGTGAGTATCTTCCTCTGTTTCTTTAGCAACAGCATGGAAACGTGTGCTAAAAACTCTCGTCTACGAAAGTGGAAACGCATGCACTTCCTGGTGTATGTAGCACACTGACAATTTAATAAACAAGGCTGTGCTTCCTTCCCCCTTGCTGCAGGGCTTCTGCTTGCAAGGGCAGCCTTTGGTCCTCTGCTTGGTCTGCTTTTTCAAAGCCCCCTACCCCTAATTCAGGCTGCCCTACGTTCAGGGATGTCGTACTCTCATGGCACCCTATTCTACAGGAGCTAATAAAACCTGCTGGTAGAGTTCAGACAGCTTGCAAGTTCAGCCACGCTGCAGATAAAGGAATCATAACAGTTATCCATTTGCTACTTTGCCTACAGAGCACCAGAGTTATAACCAAGGGGGAAAAAACCCACAAAAGCACCTGCCCTGCCATCTGATTTGAAAACAACGGGAGAACTCACTACTCCTTAGACATTCTGGGATTAAACGGCTTATAGCACCAAACCTCTTCCGGTAGCTTCCACTTTGATCACCCAAATCTTAAGAAGTATCCCCATGGCAACGCAGCTGGTCGATTCCCCTGTTTGTTTCGGAAGAATGTTCTATATTTCTCAGACCATGACTTGAGAGGGTTTAATGGGGAGCTTTATTTTTAGTGCTATGAGTAGGCCTCTCTCAGGCTCACTGTGTCACTGGCAACAGCAGCAGCAGCAGATTTCAGGATTGAACAAATGACTGAAGAAAACCCTCTTCCATATTATGAACACTCTTCTTTCTTCCCAGGCCCTACGGCAAGATCTGACAAAGTGATCTGCTATCCTATTTCTTTCCTAAGCTGCCTCCTGCCCTATTCCTTTCAGCTTCCAATGTGCACTTTTGAAAGAAGAGCTGGAATGCCTTTAGGGGGGCTGAACTCTTCAGGGGCTTTCTCATTTCCACTTCTTTAGAACTGGTTTTCTTTCCTATCCCCCTTCAAAACTAATGTGGTCATTCCAAGGTTACTCCCCTATTCATGTGCTAGCTTGTTACGGGAGGCATTAAAAATGGCAAGTTAGCACATGACTGTTGTCTTCAGTGTGCAGAAGCAGCACTCAATGAGACTGTCAGATTCAGCAGCTTATAGATTTACTGTATGTAAAAGGATTAGAATGAACTATATTTGGAAAAGTACACAGAAGAATTTCCAATTTCATTACTATGAAAGAAAACAAGATACTTGTGACACTGCGTTGAGAAAATGCTTTAAAAATATACTGAGAGTTACAGGTTAACCAGAGAATTATTTAAAAATGACAACTACAGATTTATCTAGCAGCAGTAATGACCTTTTCCCAAAAACCTACCCAAAAAAGAAGCACAGAGTTTGACTCATGAACCAGAAAAAGGTACGCTTGTTCACATTCTGAAAGGAGTGGTATTGCCATTGTTACATCAACTGTATGGTCCACTAGCAAGTACTACTGTTTTTCATGGAGCTTCTCTTCTTAATACTTTTTCGATTTCAGGAAGATTAAAATTTTAGTTCTGAGAAGCTAAAGATGCTTTAATAACATCAGAATATGCTAGAGGAGCTTTAGGGAAGTGGAGGAGTAAAAGAAGCCCTCTGAGCATGCCCCATCTAGACAGTTTTAACACAAACCATGATTTAAGATCAGTGGGGGGAAACCATGCAACCACATCAAAGGCCCACTGCTCTGACACCAGACACATTGGTGCCAACCAGTTTTGAATGGCTTATGAGGTGAGTGACATAAGCATTAGTTACAGCAATGCTCTCTGTGCCAGAAGTTATTGTCCTACGCAGGCAGTGGCCCACTTTTCAATGTACACGCTGAATGGTCTAAGAGACATTCAGAGAAAACACAGACAAGCCTTCCACGGGGGCACCCAGAAGACCAAACGAGATACACAATAGACTACAAACATTCTTCCATTTAAGCAGGGACAGTACTTCTTCATGGGTCCAGGGCCCAGATATTTCTTACTGTTTTGGGACAAAGAAGACAATTGTGCACGAAGATCTTCTTGTTTCATTGTTAAATTATAAAAAGCAGTTATTTAACTGTCTTTGCTGACCTATCAGAAGCATTTTAATCTCTAGCACTGCACTCTCCGATGCAGGGACAGGATATCCTTCTCAACCAAGGCTTTCTTGCCTGCTTCAGACCTGATGACTTCATATCAGCTGGCAGAGGGTAACTATTTAGACTATTCATGGAATGACGATAAATTCATGGGTTCTCTGTCACAGCAGGGTTAAGAGTACATTGTTCCCTTGGAAAGGAAAAATCTTTGGGCATAAAGTCTTGCCTGCAGTGCTAAGCATTATCTGTGAACTAAAATGGATCTCAAACAGCCTTCAAACTGGTTAGCATCTGGGTAAGATATGAATTAAGAGCCTCATGGAGAGCAAAAATGGGCTTTCCCAGATAAATGAAAATCTTACTGCGTGCCTTTCACGAATTACAAGATGACTGCGCAACTAGGCAGACTCTCATCCACTCAAAAGACTGCACAGGTATATCAACCACAAAAAGCATTGTTTTATTTGTCATTCTTAATTACAATTAAATTTAATTGTTAGCACCCCTTTATCCCTGCACTCCAACACAGTCTTTCCTCCACTTCTCTGTACTCTGTTCATACTCAGTCTTTTTCTTCACTCCATAGGTCTCTGCACCCCATCTTAATTAGCACATTTCTCCCCCCTCATTTCTCCCTTTGCATCTTAACAGGTTCTTGAAATTCAATCTGTCTCCCCCTTTTTTGTCACTCTTCTCTACCCTCTGTTCGCCTATCTTCCCTCTTCTCTCTTCAGCATCTTTTTTGCACTCTTTTTCTGCCTGATCTTCTGATCTTACTCTTTCCTCCTCAAATCTGGTGTCACCTAAGACAATCACTGGCTGATCAATTCACCACAGAAAACCCTGCCCACAAATTGTGAGGGGAAAACCTTGTTTGTACTGGAAAAAAACTGATAAGGAACCAGATATGGTGCCGCCTCTCTGATCAGTGCACAAAATCTCTCTTTCAGTCACAGTGACACCTTAGAAACTTTAACAACTACCTTATTCCAGTTCTTGTAGAATACAATCCTTTGTGACAGATCATCTAGAGTGCAGAAAATGCTGTATAAAGAAGGCATTTAAAAACAAAAGACTTTTTGGAATTTTCATCTTAATGTCCTACACCTTAATTTCTCCCATTAGAGTTTACAGTGAAAAAGGAATCATCGGACCTTACCGATATCTTAAAAATTCAAAACCCAAACATATTGCCTGGAAATCTGTTACCATCATCAAACAGGGAAGGCACACACACACAATGTGTGCTTTTCTATAGGCTGTTCATTACAAGCTCAGTCATATCCCAGTTGTGCTACTGATCATGTGGTAGAGAGGTCTCAAAACACAAAAGCTGTTTCTGTGAATGCCCTTGTGCATGTCAACATCCAAACGATTTTGGCCAATAGATTTAAGAAGCTCCCAAAACAAAAGCTTTCCTCTATGAATGCCTCTCTTCGTCGTTTAGTCGTGTCTGCCTCTTCGTGACCCCATGGACCAGAGCATGCCAGGCCCTCTTGTCTTCTACTACCTTCCGGAGTTGGGTCAAATTCATGTTAGTCGTTTCAATGACCCTGTCCAGCCATCTCGTCCTCTGTTGTCCCCTTCACTTCTTGCTGTCACACTTTCCTAACATCAAGGTCTTTTCCAAGGAGTCTTCTCTTCTCATGAGATGGCCAAAGGATGGGAGCCTCAGCTTCAGGATCTGTCCTTCCAGTAAGAACTCAGGGTTGATTTCCTTTAGAATGGATAGGTTTGTCCTCCTTGCAGTCCAGGGGACTCTCAATAGCTTCCTCCAGCCCCACAATTCAAAGGCATCAATTCTTCGGCGGTCAGCTTTCTTTATGGTCCAGCTCTAACTTCCATACATCACTACAGGAAAAAACACAGCTTTGCCTATTGGGACTTTGGTTGGCAAGGTGATGTCTCTGTTTTTTAAGATGCTGTCAAGGTTTGTCATTGCTTTCCTCCCAAGAAGCAGGCGTCTTTTAATTTCGTGGCTGCTTCCTCCATCTGAAGTGATCATGGAGCCCAAGAAAGTAAAAACTGTCACTGCCTCCATATCTTCCCCTTCTATTTCCCAGGAGGTGATGGGACCAGTGGCCATGATCTTAGTTTTTTTGATGGTGAGTTTCAGACCGTTTTTTGCA